GCAGTTGTTTCTGAGTCTAAAGTAATCTGGGCAGGACTCCTACCTGCAGGAACCTCGGCCCAGAATGCTGAATTAGTAGCACTAACCCAAGCTCTGACCTTGGGCAAAGACAAGAACATCAATATCTATACTGATAGTCGGTATGCTTTTGCCACAGCCCACATCCATGGGGCAATATATCGGGAAAGGGGCCTACTGACAGTAGAAGGAAAAACTATCAAAAACAAAGAAGTTCTTGCCTTGTTAGAGGCCTTATGGTTACCGAGAAAACTGGCCATTATCCACTGTCCAGGACACCAGAAAAATGACACTCCAATTGCTAGGGGCAACCGTCTCGTGGACAGGACTGCTCGTCAAGCCGCCCTAAAAACAACAGTCGTGGCTGCTGCCAAGCTCCTGGATCCAGGGTCCCCAAATCTGCCTGAAGAGCCAACTTACACGCCTCAAGATTTAAAATGGATAACTCAGTTGCCTATGACTCAATACCTCAAAAAATGGTGGCACACTGCTGACTAGTCATATTACCTGAGAAATTAGGAGACCAGCTCCTAACCAAGATACACCTGACAACCCACATGGGCACCAGAAAGATGCAAGACCTCATCAGACAAGCAGGAGTTAAGATTCTGGGCATGCAGTCCAAAATTGACCGCATTGTGTCTGAATGCAAAGCTTGTCAATTGACAAATGCCATCTCGAATCCACCTAATCTTGGCACCCGACAACGTGGGGAAAAACCGGGGGCCTATTGGGAAACTGACTTTACTGAGATAAAACCTGGTCAGTATGGGTATAACTATTCATTAGTTTTTATAGACACATTTTCAGGATGGGTAGAGGCCTACCCCACCAAATATGAAACAGCCCAGGTGGTGGCTAAGAAGTTGTTAGAAGAGCTCCTGCCAAGGTATGGTTTCCCTGCTATGCTAGGGTCTGATAATGGACCAGCTTTTGTGTCCAAAGTAGTTCAGGGACTGGCATCAGTGCTTGGGGCAGATTGGAAATTACATTGTGCATACAGGCCCCAAAGTTCAGGACAGGTAGAAAGAATGAATAGAATGCTAAAAGAGACCTTGACAAAATTGACTAAGGAGACTGGCGGGGACTGGGTGGCTCTCCTTCCCTATGCGTTTTCCCGGGTGCGTAACACCCCATATAAACTAGGTTTAACCCCTTTTGAAATTATGTTTGGAAGACCCCCTCCTATTGTACCTAGCCTGCAAACCAAAATGATTAATGACCTAGATGATGATGATGATAATACACTTGTCCGTTCCCTTCATGCCCTGCATCGGACTCAGAGAGACATCTGGAACAGACTAAAGGCCTTATATGAATCTGGACCACCACCAGAACCTCACCAAGACCAGCCAGGTGACTGGGTGTTCGTCAAGCGACATCGGCGAGGAAGCCTGGAACCGTGCTGGAAGGGGCCTTATGTAGTAGTCCTCGTGACCCCTACTGCACTCAGAGTAGACAGCATTGCAACCTGGATCCACTATACCCACGTACGACCAGCTGACCTCTTTGCCCTTCAGGAAGAGTACCTTCCATCAAGATGGACAGCTTCAAAAGATCCCGCAAACCCACTGAACCTCCATATCCAAAAGACTTAATATTACTAATCCTTGTTGTATGCATCATTGACTCTGTTAACTGTAGTCCCTGCCCTAGTGACTGCTGGACCCCATTAACCCCATACAGGGGGGACAGGTACTTTACTGTTTCAACCTATGTCCATGCCTCCTGCTACACTCATGCTGTAGAGTGACAGTATCGAGGAAAAGGCTATTTCACAGCAACTGCAAAGCGGGGGAGTAGCCATACGTCCAGATGCCCTAGTCAGCCAGGTAAAAAGTTCTGTTTTTCCTGACTTACCCACTATGGCTCAGACGGTGGGGGAGCTCAGGACGGAGTCAGGCAACAGACTCAAGAAGAAGTAAAGCAGAATCTGTTAACTCTGGGCAAAGAGTTAACCCCAGAATACATGCCCAACCAGCTATTAGAACAAATCCAACAAGCCCTTTGGCCTCTGGACTTCTCCCACCAGATTATTACAAGTCTAAATGACACCTATCAAGTTTTAAGTGCAGACCTAAATAATACCCCTTGCTGGATCTGCCTGCCTCTAAGACCAAAACCCTTTTTTGCTTGGCCCGTCCCCTCCCCAGTCTTCGGTTGAAACTCAAAATCTCACTTCTAATTTGACGAGGGCTAAAAACTCAACCCTAGTAGTAGGTCCCTTAACAGACGAAATCATCCTTATGTCCAATAATGCCTCCTATGTAATTACTAACCACACCTTGTTGGTGGAAGTCCCCTGTAATGACTCCTCCAGCCTTCAGGATACAAGTCCTATCTGTGGTAAGCCTGGAATATTCTTTGTAATGGCTCTGTTTTAATGCGATGTCTCCCTGCTAACTGGACACAACTCTGTATGCCAGTGTTCCTTACCCCACCCCTAACTGTTCTTAGCCTTGCCACTATGACCTCCATGACCCTGTCCACAAGGTGCCAAAAGCAAGCTCTTCCACTTGGAGTGCTGCTCATAGGAGGAAGCCTGGCGACCGCTATAGGGCTGGGAGCAGGAGGCTTGGGCACAGCCACCCATTTTTATTACAAACTCTCTATGGACATTAGCCGTGACATAGACAAGGTAGCAGATTCTCTCCTGGCCTTACAAACCCAGATACCTTCTCTGGCCGGGGTAACCTTACAAAACCATCGAGCTCTAGACTTGCTTACAGCAGAGAAAGGAGGTATGTGCCAGTTTCTAGGGGAAGAATGTTGTTTCTTTGTGAATGCATTGGGCATAGTCCAAAATAAGGCCCAAGAGTTAAAAGAATCTGTTAAAAAGCACCTGTCTGAGCAGAAGCCTATGATTTATTTAACTGGTGGAAAACATCCTGAGGTAAATGGCTTATTCCACTCCTTGGACCCCTCACTGCCCTGATGATTATGTCGATCCTAGGTCCCTGTATAATTAACAGAATACTTAACTTAGTTAAAGAAAGGATAGGAACAATCCAGTTGATGGTTATGTGGTCTCAGTACCATTACCTAGAGACCGAAGAAGAAAGCGCTCATGATTGAGCTAGGGTGCAGAAGAAGGGGGGAATGAGGGACTCCATTTTGTAACCAATACGTCATTTTAAAATGTATACGCCTCTAGAGCAGTGGGGGAAGGGGGAAAAGAGCCCCCACCCAAACATCAGCCAATCCTGAATCACCCGGTTTTCGGGCCCTTCCTCTAAATCAGCCAATCCTGTATCACCCTCTTTTCGTGCCCTTCCTTTGAATCAGCCAATCCTGTCTCGCCCTGTTTGGGCAGGCTTTCCCCTTTAAATAAGCAGACAGCCCAGAATCGAAGCCACGGGCATTTTCCCTGCTGTATGGGCACGCTTTGGAGCACGGCCCGGATTCGAATCTGAAATAAATTCCCTCTTGCCCTTGCATCAGTGTCGGCTCCTTGGTGACTTGGGGGGAACTGGATTTGGGGCATAACACAGTCACTTAGGGTGATGAGAATCCCTCACCCTTTAAAGCACTTTCTGAACCTGTTTCTTCTGCTTCCGCTCCTTGCTGAGAATTTGCCTTTGTACCCAGGGCCCTAAGCATGACACAGGAGTAGGCAGTTTTCTGTCCTGCCGTACATGAGGTCATTGTGAGTCAGCACCCTACAAGAGCACGGGAGATCCCCAAGAATCACCTGGAAGATCTTATTCAAATACAGATTCAGACCAGTAGACCTGAGTTGTTATACATGTTCAAGATGGAAGTGACTCAGAGCTGACCCTTCAGAAGGGTTTTAGAGGCAATAAACCACATGGGAGGAGATTGTCCACCTTCCTCCTGCAGAGCAGCTAGTGGATTTGAACCCCGTACTTTCAGGTTGGTAGTGCAGCTCTGTTACCACTAGGCCACAGGCAAATTCTCAGCAGGGGGTCAAACAGGTATAAACAAGTTCAAAGCCTTGGTTTAAAAAAAGGTAATTTAGGTATTTAAGTAAAACAGAATACTGAGTCTTTTAAATAGCTCCAAGACTTGGGTATGTCCTCTCTCTAGGCCTGATCTAGCCAAATTTTTTTTCTGCACCTATAAGCTAAGCAACACTTTGCTAGGGCAGGCTTGCTTTGTAAGAATGGCCATTTCGGTTTACATTTGAGAAGCACACGTATACATGACCAGGCTCCTCAGAGTTCTGGAGGAGGAGTGGATCTTCTGCAATGCAGTAATCTGTGTCCTGTTGCTGGCTAATCACCTTGTGTTCTCTTTGTTAATGCAGGACAATCGTGTCACTGTCCATCGTTTACACAATCGGACAGGCTGTCATCTCAGTGAGCTCAATCAATGACCTCACAGACCATGACCACAACGGGACCCCCAACAACATTCCTGTGCACGTGTGAGTTCATGTCCACGGCCTGAGCCCGGGCTGCCTAATGGGGCTTCTCATCTTCCCTCGTTTTCCTTGAACTTCACCATGAATGTTAGCAGGCTGTGCCTTGGAGAAGGCTCTTACCTGATCACTGAGTCTTCAGCATGTCATCATCACGGTGGCAGGCATTGTGTGAACTTGGGGGTTGGGATTGTCCCAGGAACCCCTACTTACTGTGTGGTCAGTGGCAGGCATTAGTGTCAGACTCATTCTATGGAGGAACAGACTCCCCTGAGCCTGATTCTTGCCATCAGGGTCCCTCAAGACTTGGGACCTTTGATTTTGGTGCTGGAGAAGAGTATTGAAGGTACCATGGACTGCTAGGAAAACAAACAGATTCATCCTGGAAAGGATTAAACTGGGTGGCTCCTTGGAGGCAAGGATTCTGAGGCTCCGTCTAATGTACTTTGGACATGTTGTAAGGAGGGACCGGTCCAAAGGACAGAGCAGAGTTTAGGGCTGTTGTACACAGGGTCACTATGAGTCGCAAGCAACTTGATGCCACTTAACAACAACAACAACATGTCTCGTTTCCGCTTATTCCACAGTAATTCATTTTCATGAATATCTATTACTGCCTTAAGTGCTGGGTTCTTGATGGGAAGTGTTATCAATGAATGTTACTCTCCACTCTAGTGGTAACGACTTCTTTTGTTTCCTGTTCTTGCGCTTTAGGGAGTTCTGGTGGGTAGGGAGTTGGTTCAAATCCACCAAGCTGCTCCTTGAGAGAAAGACCATAAGACTCCTTAGGTGATTCACATTCCCTGAAAACCTGTTGGAGGGTCAACTACGAGTCAATTCTGACTCAATAGCAATGAATTGCTAATATTCTGAGTTCTTGTGCTTTAGTTCTTGATCTTCAAAGTAAACTCTCTTATGAGTTTGAGAAGTATCCTGACCTCCTGTTCTTGCATTACACCCATTGTGCTTCTCAGAGGCTGTGTTTTTAATAGAGATTGTGAGTGGGAGGTTGTGACAATTTTGCATTGAGCAAGTCTTTTGGCATCATTTTCCCAGCCACATGTGCTGACTAACTCTCTGTGTCAGATTTTTTTTTTTAATTATCATGACTGTTAGTTAGTTAAATTTGTCTCCTAGGCTGCAACACCTCCATGATACATCTTCAAGGATATGAACATGTACAGCTAAGCACAATTAATAACAGTGCATCTAATTTCTAAAATCAATCTCCATAATAGTCTATGTGTTTCCTACTGCCAAAGGGGCCCTTTAGAGTAGTGAGAGAAGATCTTCACCCTGAAACCCACAATGTTCCTTTTCAGCAAGAAGTAGCTAAGAGAATACGCCATCCCCTTTTCCTTATGAATCAGGGTGAAGTCTCTCTCAGGGAGGAGTGATAGGGAATGGCAAAGGGCACACTGATTAA